CCTTTGCCTATGTTACAATGTTCTGAATGTGTGCTGTTAAAAGATCGTGAAACAGGAAATTAAACTGATGATCAGGGTTCAAACTGAGAAGCAAAATTAGCTGATCAAAGAGCGTGGAGCTGAGAGCCACGAGAGTGGGGAGAAGCTGAGATTGGAAAAAGCAGCCCAGGAAAAGAAAGTTGGTCAGGGAAGTCTGAGAAGTGAGAGAAGCCCAGGCTGAGAAGGCAGGACTAGATAGACTAGGACTTGCTAGCAAGAAGAACAGGACCATCAGAGTGGGGAAAAGGATCTGGGATGGGAGCGGATGGAAGAGCTGGATAGGAAACCCCAGGCTTGGGGCTAGCGGGTAGGACAGCAGGTTCCCACAAAGCACATCTCTTCAGAGGAGCTGGAGCAGGACCCGAGATGTTTCCTTCTCATCTTCCCTTTGTGGCCAGGAAACAAGCTGGTGAGGCATCCTGCTCCCTCTGCAGCCAATCCGTGCAGCGCTGGCAGGTTGTGATCTTCTCTGTTATGTCATTCGGTCAAACGGCAGAGGCCTGTGCAGAACTGAGGGCTCCGGGTCTGCAAGTTAACCACACGGCTGTCGGCACAACATCACATGGCAGGAGGCATTTGTCCAGCTTCCTGTTGGTAGGAACCTAGGACACTCCTCTCCTTTCCTCAAGGTCTTAATATTCTGTTTTTTACATCAAGTTAAGCACTTGGGTTTAGAGAGTGATGAAATGATAGTTGCTTATACAGCCTGTACCTTTTTCTCTACCACATAATTTTTTCCCCCACAAAACATATGCTTTGCTCAGTAACAGAGATGAGCTGTGCACATATAATGCACTTTTTTTCTGGCTTGCTGCAGAAGAAGGAAAAATGTGCAGTGTGAGAGTCAGGGAATTACTTGAAGAAAAAGGCTGTAGTAGTCACAGGAACATGATCTGATCCTCCAGGACAAATGGGTTTCTGAGTGGTCTTGGACTAGTCATTTTGAGCTAAACTTTTCAAAGGCTATCATTAGCTGTTGTTGCTAACTTGTTGCTAACTTCTTGTCGCTAACTTGTTTGAGATGCCCAGTTCTAGAGCATAGAAGCAGACTGGTGAAAATACTGTGTGCTCTTTTCTGAAACAAAGTTTCAGAAAAGCATTTCTTAGGCATCTCAAATCAAGTACTGCTCAAATCAGCAGATACTTCTGAAATTGTGCCATCTGTGCCTTAGCTCTCTCTCCATTTAATGGTAATAATGCTACTTCTAAAAGAAAGTTGTGGGAGATTTTGAAAATAAATTAGCTTAATGTTTTGTGATGCAGTTAAAAATAACGAACTGGATGAGGATGAAGGCTGGAGGAATAAAAAAGAGCTGACATTACAGTATAAAGTACAGTGTTATGCACCTAGCATCTAATGCAAATGTCTCTTCTAAATGTGAAGCTCATCACCTGGAAACTACAAAGGAGGAAGAAAGATCTCGGAGTATTGCTAGCTCTTGTGGTAATTGAGGCAGCACTTTCATGGTCTGTTACACTGTGGTCTTAAAAGGTCTCAGTGGCTATCAGAGAAGCACTAATGCCGTTGGGCTTTTGGGAGAACTCCTCTGGACACTTGTATATACTTACAGCTTTACAGCAGAGAGAAGAGAGCAAACTGGGGAAAGTGCCCAATGAGGCTGGTAACGTAGTTAGAGGAATGGGTGGCCAGTTTTAAAAAGCAAAGAAAGATTTGTGGCTTATTGAGCCTTGCAAAATGAAGGCGAAGGGAGGAGTAAGAGAGCAGTTTGTACATATACGTGAAGGATTAACGGCAAGATGGAAGCTAGCCCAGCTGAGGTATGGTTTTTGGCACAACAGTAAATAGGTTTGAAATGAATGGGAATAAGCTTTGGTTGAAAATTAAATAGTTTGCAAGTACCGGAGTAGTTACAGTCTAGGGCAGTATCCCAAAGGACAGAGTGGAAGGAAGACACCTTGTTGGACTGGAGATGAGGCTCAAACCCTTTGGAAAGGGTGTGAGCAGGACCTGGGCTCAGTCTTGGGAGGCTGTAGCCAGTTAAATCTGTTAATTATAGCCGGTGCAGTATGCACGCTTGGACATCGCGCATGCAGTGCACGTGGGCAGTTGACCTTTTCCTTCTCTGAAGTGAAATCAGGTCATTAGGAATTATCTCTAAATATTCTGGCCCTATACTTCAGAGCTTGGGCTGCTTTAATCTTAGTATGACTTGGGGAACCAGATTACCAGCGTATCTGCCCTGCAGAGCCTGAGAGCAGATGAGATCTCTTTCAGATGGCTGGTTTTTAATGTGCAGCCAGAGAGGTCTGTTGAGTGCCTGACATATGTGGAGGGAGGGGGTTGTATGTGCTCTCCATTAACACTTCCAAGAAGCAGGAAAGTGTCATGTCCGTTCACTCCAGGATATCTACTTGTCCTGGTTTATGCTGCATATTTGAATGGAAAACTATCAGTTGTGTGAGGGCTGAAGGAAGAAATACATTGTTGGAGTAGGATCATTGCCATTCTCATCCTTTGGATGGCCACTACTTCATGTTTGTCACATGCAATTCATATCGGTAAGGAACGTGTGTCACTGCTGATGTGATGCGTCGTGTCGCAAAAGCTCAGGTGACATTTTGTGACCTCCTAAAGTCTAATGAAAGAGGTTTGCAGCATATAAATACCATCTGCCATGGCAAAGCAAATTCCCAGCTCTCTAATCACATATGCCTCTTGTGAAATGCTGCATCACCTCGAAAAAAATCAGCGTATTAATGGAGGAAGCTTGTCATTTCACTCATTCACAGATTCCTTACATAATTCATCTATTAACTTATTTTTTCCTATTAAGAACCCTGAGGGGTGGAAGTTGCAGCAAATCCATGATGACTTTAGGAGTTCCATTTCATTAGCCCTGTGTTTACTTTCTGATTTTTTGGTACTCTGAATTGGAACCATTCTCCCTATGATCATAATCTTTTGTGAATACACAGATGGAAGTGTGAAAAGTCTGAGCTGTCTTAGGAACTTGTAACAGGACTTTGGGGGGGAGGGGCATGGAAAAAGAGTTTTCCTTATTAACCTGTGTTTGTTCACTTAGTCCATTATGGGAACTGGGATGTGCTAATTATTTTAAATTGATCCAATTTGCCAGTTTGTCACGCCGATGGCCTCTGATGTGGGAGAAGGAGACCAAACTTCAGGTTCAGTTTTTGCAGGGCTGACAGCTTATGTAATGTACAGTTTCTGAATCAGTAGGGGCATTTTTACAGCCTGAAAAAATAAGCAGTGTTTCATGCTTGGATGGGAGAGAAGAGCACTTTATCCACTTATCCTTTACTTTGCATACTGCTGTTGTTGGGTGCTCTAGCTTTTACATGTAGGTAGGACAAACTTTCTAAAGAGAGAGTTTATTGCAGGAAATGTATACATATTACAGACCACATATACAGCACACTCGCATTAGTTTATAAGTAACAATGAGCAAAAGTTGCTTCATATGGTGCCAAGATAGAAACTGCATCTACAGACTGTGGTGAGAGGCAACAGATCTGCCTCCTGTCATAAACCGTGCTTTTGTGTCTTTTCCAAGAAGTGTGCAAGCATTGTCTAGCCCTCACAGCCATCAGTGAAGAAGTTAGGTCTGTTTTTGTCGCTGTCATACAGCCAGAGAAAGAGGTACACTGAAAAATGGAGTGACAAGACTAGCAAATCTGTGTAAGCCTCAAGAGAGGATACCAGAAGCCTGGCTTGCCAGCCTGCCTCATTACGTCATGCCCACGTGCCCTGGGCAAACTCCATTCTTTCGACTGTGTTTGTACATAGCGTCGGTGACATAGCAGGTGTCAATACGGATTCTAATACTGATTTTTAGACATAAGCTTATAATTTCCCTGATATGGCATATCCTCAGGCTCCCTTTTTTCACTGGGGTATTGTCCTGGTTTCAGCTGGGACAGAATTAACTTTCTTTATAGTTCATTGAGAGTCCTTTCTTCACTGAGAGATGATGCTATATGTGTGTACATGTCACAGAATAAATAAATTTAACAATTAGGCAGGGACAGGAGAAATCGAGAAGGCTGTAAGCATCGCTCTGGGTGTAAGCATTCTGAGGCAGAGCTATGTTCTTAGTCCAGCACTTGCAAGGATAAGTCATTACGCTGTGCTGCTCCCCTCATAGTGGACCATATGGTAAGGTCCTGCTGTGCATGTACTACCCTAAGGGTTCTACTTGCAAATGGAGCGATGAAACTGAAAAGCCTGCTCTGCAGGAGTTCAGTAAGTTTTTTGTAACTGCATTGCCATGCAATGATTTCTGTTGCCTTTATGTTTGACCTGTTTTTATAGATCCTGATGAAGTCTGTAAAATGAGCTTGTTCTTAATTGCCATTCTTAATTTCAATAAGTTAATACAGGGGTTAGGTGGGATACGTTTTTGCATTTGCTGCTCTGCAGTAATGACTGTTTTGAATATTTTGGCCCTGAAACAGAAAGAGAAGCTGTCTTTTTTGTGTTAGTTGCAGAGTGAAAATGGGTATACCAGCAGTTACTGCAGAGTGGTTGGTACAGTGTAAAACTACACCCTGCTTCATTGTGAAATTAGTTTGTTCACATGCCCTGGGAGATACCAGTGTGAGCACCTGAAAGAGATGATATTTGAAATCCTAGGAGTATGTTGTGAAGCTTTTTATCACAGCCCAGCTGTAGCTGACATTTAAAATGTGCAGCAAGAAAGAGGCAGTGAGATAAGGAGATGTCTTGGGAGAGGTACTGCAGCTCATCTGGGCTTTTCAGAGCGAGAAACTGTACCCAACTGGGTATCACTGGATGGTATCAAAATGCTTGCTTTGTTGTTTGCTTACAGGTACACTGTGTGTGGGAAGGGATTTTCAGGGGCAGAAAAGCTATTTAGCATCAAGCTAAGAAAACAGTAAAGCACTGCTGTTTAAAAGGCTGTCTAAAGAGCTGGGCCTGCTGCTTTCCTTCCAACACTTAGCAACTTTTTTCGTTTTAGGAACTTTCCGCTGTACTTTCTGCGAGACTGAAGTGGAAGAAGATGAGTCGGCAATGCCCAAAAAGGATGCAAGGACACTCGTGGCAAGATTTAATGAGCAGATTGAGCCCATCTATGCGCTGCTTCGTGAGACAGAAGATGTTAACTTAGCCTATGAAATCCTTGAGCCAGAACCCACTGAGATTCCTGCCCTGAAGCAGAGGTGGGAATGCACCTGGTCTTCTCTCACTGCGCTGCTTCCGTGTAGTGAGTTCGTCTTCTCTGTGAGGTTTTCCCAAACCTCATGCAGCCTCTGGCTGCATTGAGGACTTATTCAGCACCTGCTGTGCAAGCGACTGACAGATTCCCCAAGGAATGTGTGGTTTATAAGGAGACAAAGGGCCACAGCCATTTTTTACAAAACCAGGCAGATTACTATTCTTTTGGTCAGTCTCTCCTGTGTGTAGTTTTCTGTGGGGTGGGGTACTTGAATTGCCTGCTGCTTGTTGTGCTGCATTGGGGTATGTATGTGAAGCCCTTGCCCCAGTATTTAAGAAATGCAAACTGCAGCCATTTGGCAAAGCTCTGAAGTTGCCATGTACACTGTCTGGCTCTCAACCCCTTATCTTTCATCTATTCCTTTTGCTTCTACCCAGATTTTGAAACTAAGCTATCTGCATTCTGCATTTTGCGTTTCATATTAATATATAACAACATTCTGGTTCAAAGACATTAATTGTAATAAGGGTATTTTTTCTTCTGCTTTTCTCCTACTTGTTACACACCTCTTCTTTTCAGGAGGAGACCATGTTATAGTCAAAATCTCTTTAAAATGTTCCTACCCAGGGGAAATGACACTTTCTTTCAGAACATTCCTAGCTGTACAAAAACAGATGATGTTTAAATAATGCAGAAAGATGTGGGGAGCTGACAGTTTTGTCAGCCGTAGTGAAATGTGATGCACTTCTCTGTGTTTAAAAAAATTAATTAAACACACAGGGGAGGAAAAAAATGTACCACGAGGGGAAGCATTCCCCATAGTGCCTTGGGGTGCTTGGCTTTAGTTAATGGGAGAGCAAGCAGGATACTCTTTTTTTTCTCTCAAGCTAACCTTGAGAGAGAATGTTCCTCATATATTAATGCTAGACAGTTTCTAATTAATATAATAAAAAATTCTTTGTCTATTCATAGACTTTTTCTAGCCAAGAGGGTAGTTAATTTTCCTCATCATTCTGGGAGAAAAACAGAAGCAATATAGAGAGGGGAAGAGAGTTTTCCAAGGTCACTCAATATGTCTTTGGTGATATGGGGAGTCTTTGAAGCCTTTATACCCAAACTGAATCACTAGACTTTGCTTTAAAAACCCCTTTTCTGTAGTAGAACTGAGATAACCTCACCAAAAAGAGAGTAAGTTCTCAGTCTTCCTCTTCTGTGCACAGGAAATTGTCACAGCAGAAGCCTGGTGCAGTCCCATGATTAAATAGCAGCACCCACTTACTTGACTCTTAAATACTTAAAGAACCGTGTAAATGATTAATTACTCTGTACAAGGAATGACAAATGGCGGCTTTTTAAATGCTTACTTGAAAACAACTTCACATACAATGATTTAATTATTTATTAACTCTTATTATTTCAAAGCACCTAATTGCATGGAAGCACGTCTATGAGATTTGAGTTTTTTTTAAAAGTGCCAAACCCAGCTGGGTTATTTATTTTCTCTGGTTTTATGGAGTGTTGAGTACCTGAAATAATTGACAAAAGTGACATTTGATGATTCTGAAACAAACAGAAAAGGTCACAAAGTGCCTGCATCTTCTCTTTGCACCAATGCACGCAACTTTGTGTGTTTTCAGGAGAGTTACAGCTCTAAGTGACCACACTGACATTGCATAATTGTCATTCACATGCCATGGGAAACTGGGCAGATCTTTATTTATATCTTTCTAAGAGGTCATTAATGTTCTTCATCTTGGCAGAGCATGAATTAGCTCCACAGGTTTCAAAAGAAACCTGTTTTACCTAAGTGGTTTTCTACATGGATTTTAATATCCCCTCCATTTTCTTATGTCAAAATAGCAAGATTTTATATAACAAAAATCTTGACAGAATTAATTTTTTGTGGTCATGCTATCAAGGACCATGTGTTGTCTGCTGTAAAGTAGAAGCTCTTAATAGCAGCTAAGTGAAAAAGTGCTTTATTTCAAACACGGCACAAAAAAGAATTATTCCATTATGCAAGACCTTTTCTTAAATAGTCTGGGCAGGATTGAGATGAAAATTTCAAGTTGTTTCACTGTTGCACAGTCTGGTTTCTGTGGGCCATACCTCAGCTATGTCACGGATTATTTCTCTCACCTTTAAAGGCAGCTAACCACACATTAAGAGATTTCCATCAGGGTAAAACAACTGGTAGGTAACAGAGCAAATGTAGCCACATCTGGGCCATTGACCTGCCACCATCTGAGCAGGTCCTCGTTGCAGGATGGCCATGCAAAGTCTAGACCTAGGTGGGAGAAGCAGATCTTGGATCTAAGTGAGTGAGAGACATGTAGGAACGCATTCCCTTCACCTGCTCTGTGCTGCCCATAAGGCAGCTCATGCATCTGGCTGGTGCCTGATCCGTGGTGTTTAATCCTGTACTTTGGAACAGGGTTGCTGAACAGTAAGATCTCTTTTGGCAGTAAGGAGTATTCCCGTGGTCACCTAGTCTTGAGGGGTTGCTGACTCCTACCAGCAGTGTTGCTGAAGATGCAGTTCCACAAATGAGAAAGTAAATTGAGACATGTTTACAAGGCTCAGCAGGGTCTGAAAGTAGACAGTGTCTAGATGATTCCACCTAAGTGTGGGACTTTGCAGTAGATGCCTTAAAGTAATTCATACTGTAGGTGTCTCTTAAAGTTGTTATCTTAATTTTTGAAATGTTCCTGACATGGAATAAATGTTTTCCTGCTAACTGATACCATGTAGGAAAAAAGTCCATTTCAGGGACACCAGTGGGGACCTCTGAGCAGAAGCATTATTAGCCAGTTCGTGGCACTACCGCGTATGTAGCTGTCACGCTGCAGTCATGGGGAGGGAGAGCTTGGGGGAGAGCTGCATTGTGTATCTTGTGAGGAAAGTGGATTACATAAAATCGTCAGGGAAACGCTAGTTAGATTTCTATTGTGTGGGAAGCAGAGTGGTGCTTTTCACAGAACACACGCTTGTCTTGGAGGAGCTGAAAGGTGCCAACACTTGAAATAACGCACTGGGAAGAAGGGCTCTGTGTGGTTCCTCAGGTTATATAAGCAATACACGTGCGTGAGTCTTCTGCCCCAAAATCCAAGGATGCTGTGAACCTCTCCTGGTGGGGCTGGCTGCAGGAGAGAACTGGTTAGCATGTGGCCACATGCTAACAGGGATGCTGTGGAGTACTTTGTTGACAGACCCCAGCAAACTCACTATTGGGAGGCTCTGAGTAGCGCTCAATGCAAACTGCAGCTGAACACACCAGTATTTTTTTTATCTGTGGAAGAGGGACGATCACTTACCTGCATATTTTTCCCTTGCTGTTTACCCCTAAAAATCCAGCAGAATTAGCTCATCAAGCAGTGGTTAAGTCCTTGCTGAATTTAAAAAAAAATGCATATTATTCAGGTCTTCTCCAAATGCTACCTTATTTTAAACTTCTTGGTTGGAGGAAAGGTCATTGGGTAAGTAGCAGTGACTGAACCATGCTCAGTGACAACTTCTGCCAACTCAGCTGGCAGCAGAGCAGCGACACTGTGAGCATCCTTGATGGATTTGCTCTGGACAAGAGGAAGGGTCCAGGCAGGTCTGCTACCTGTGAAAAGCCTTAGCTAACGCAGTCAGTCAGATGACTGAAATTATATGGCTGAGGGTGGGCACAGTGTGCAGTGAATCAGTTTCTCTGAGAAGATGAGATACGATTTTGAAGTAGAGGAACGGTCACATTTGGTTTTTCCCACCCAGGCAGCAGTGAGTTTCCATTCAGCTGCGTTCCCTGATCAATGCATATGTAGCAGCACAGGCCATAGAGAGTATTTTAGGCTCATTGCCATCACTGTGCAGAAAATACTCCAGCTGCTGTCCTCTTTCCATCAGATGCAAGAGGGAATGTTTCTTTTCTCCATCAGTCTCCTGCACTAGAAGGGAGCCTGGAGGAAAGCATGCAGGCTGCAGCTCCTCTCAGAAAACAGAGGAGGGCGAGGCTTTGACTGGCATACCCTTTGCATCGGTCATCGCCTTTCTTTCTCCAGCTTTTCCACGATGAAGACAGTTCTGTCTTGCCTCCTCCCACACACCATCACCACACAAAGCCCCAGTCCTCTGGTTTGAAGTTGCCCTTTCATCTTTCTCCTCCCTGCCTGGACTCCCCGGTCCTCCCAAGGCTGTGTCTGTGGATAGTACACATCTGTCTAACACAGGAGATGCGATTTATCGTGGGCATGGTCACTCACAATTCAAGCAAAGGTTTGAACTGTGTTTTTCATGGTAAGTTAACTATTTCACGAGTCCTGTGATTAATAATGGTTCACAGATCTGAGCATGCTGGGTCTCTAGGCCTATCATCTGACTTGTTTGAACTTTAGTGCTTTTTTTGTGCAGTATATTGTTGCTGTGTTGAAGAGACTTTTCCAAATACCAGATTACTGTTCGACTATGTTTTGCTGCTGTGGCTTTTATTTGGGGGTATTCTGGACCTTTATGTTTGTTTTCACATGAGTGCATCAGCAGCCTTGGTGCTGCTTCTTCTTTTCAGCGTCTGTTATGGGAGTTGCCGTGGCCTCCTGTAGGGTTTCCTGTTAGAGATCCCCAAGTTCCCCAAACCAGCAAGCTGGTGTAGAAATTCCTGACACCACGTGTTAGAAATGAGAACGCAAGTATTCAGTACAGATCATGGGAGATAACTAACTGTAGTTTAGGTTTTTTAATGAGGGGCCAAGAAAGGGCTTGTTCTGAGCACTCTGTTTTTATCTCTTTGACTTTTATGTAGTAAGGAACGCGCAGCTGGTGCTGGTTCGGGGACGGCAGCTGGCCTTGCAGGTGGACACCATCGGGAAGCATGGACTACAAAAGGACCATCATATGAGGACTTGTATACCCAGAATGTTGTCATCAGCATGGAGGACCAGGAGGATCTTAACCGGCCTGCAAGTGAAGGAAAGCCGGCCAGAGAAAGACCAATTTGGCTACGGGAGAGCACAGTGCAGGGGGCTTATGACCCTGATGAAATCAAAGACGGTAAGAAAATTCAGAGACCAGAAATAGTGCTCTGCTTATGTGATGCTCTTAGAGTGCTGTCAAAAATATGTTCCCCTGTGTGTGTACAGCTGCTGCTCCCATCAGTCCAGATTTTGCCTGCTCCCCTCTGCTGTGCAGAGCACCTCTATGTAGGTAGATGTGAAAAGTCCTGATTTATTAGGTCCAGGATCTAGGTCAGTAAAGATGAGTTACTCACAAAATTATTTGTGCTTGTAAAATGTTAATTATGTGTTACATCTTCCACCTTGAGAGTTTATTGCTTTTGGATGAAGGTCTTTCAGTTTCATCTAGAAAGCTGCCTCCCTAATAGGTCACTGCTGAAAAGTAATATTTATTAACATTCAGTGACTCTGAAGCCTACCAAATCTACCATCAGTGTTTTTGTGCTCCCAACTTTCTTCTTGCCAACTGTTTTTCAAAATGTGCTTTATCTGAAGAATATATCAGAAATAAAGCTTCTGGAAGTACAGTAGAAAGGTCTGTCATCATGGCCTGTGAGTCTTTATTGCTTTCTGTTTGTTTCTCCTTATCTTTGTTTTTCTTGTCATTCATGTTGGGGTCAGGTTGTCCATAGGCAGTAGTCAAGATCTTGTAACCATAAGCAGAAACATTCCACTTTGGTAAGAGTGTTGTTTCAACTTACACACTAAAATTAGGAAATAGAGACCTTTTATGATTTTTGCAGTAGGGAATTAATAGATGCAATCTTCCAAGTCATTTAAGGATTATAGACTGAAACTGTTGATGCCCTGGGAAGAGAAGACAGCAAAGGCGAAGCCATGTGGGAGTGTGAGACCCTGGAACCAGTGCAGTGCTCAGGAGAGGAGCGGAGTATGTAGGTGTAGCAGAAGTGAAGAAAATGGATGTGAAATAATGGTCAGAAGATACATAATTATCTTGTTTGCCTTTCAAACATACAGACCCCAACACATTTTCCAAATAGATTAAATCAAGTGAGCAATTGAAACAACCTCCTCCTGCACTCTATAGCAGATGTTGTTGTTACTCACCAGCCATGGTGAGTTCTCACCCCATTTTTCTGCTAGACATGTAATTCACCTGTAGTTTAAATTGGCTCCTTGAGATACCGTTTGGTGTACACAGCATAAGGGTTTCTTGATGCCACTGAAGGACATGGAGGGGGAGTATATCTCCTTACAGCATGATGGCATCACTGCTTAAGCTCCACCACTTCTGGAGATCACAGAAGGGATGTGTAAATAGCGTGAAATTTCTGTTCCAGCACATTTATATAGCTCCTGGATGACATAAACAGGGAGAAAGAAAACTGGGGACCACTGACAGAAAAGATTCACTGTTTGGATCTGGCAGGAACAATTCTTGCAAGCAAGAGACAGCCCCACTCCTGAGCCACGAGGTCAGCCTTTGTGGAGCTAACCCAGGCTGTTGTTGCTTCACATCTCTCTTACGTGATGAGATATGATATTATTTCACAGAGATGCTCTCCAATAACCTCTTATGCTCTACAGTCACAAGCAACAGGCTGAGCACAAGGCTGCCAACACAATGCCTTTATTCTTCCTTTCTTTCAAGGATTTTGCCAGTGCACTAATATTAGTAGTTGTAGCCATCATCTGTTACTACTACTTCATTTACAATGAAAACAGAAGTCCAGTGAAGTCAGAGGTGGGTCTTTTGGCCTTTATTTTACCACAGGAAAGGAGTGACCATAAACTCCCCTGGCTTTTAGTGCTAAATGCAGAACTTACTGCCTTAGTTTACCTGTTTCTCAGCATTTTTTCAGCTTGAGTTAAAAAAAGTAACTAATGCATTTTTGACCCTGGAGGGAAAGGCTTGGGTACCAACTGCAGGGATGTGGTCCTGAAACTATGAAGGGCCATGTCTTGGAGAAGGCGGCAAGTGGCATTAATTTATGAAGACAGAACGCTGTCACCTCAGCTCCAGCCGTTGTTCATAGCAGCGTCTTTTGGTGTAAGAGAGAAAGTTTGCCATAGGGAGTCTGTCCTGCTTTTTAGGCCTTGTGTTTACATAAGGTTCTCTACATTTCTTTTTTTGTTGTGGTTTTGGTTTTTTTTTCCCATCCTGCCTGTAGGTTTATTAGCGCTGGGTGGACTCCCAGCCCTCTGAGCAAAAGTCGGATTAGGAGAAGTTTTCTGCACAATGCTACTTTTTGAACAAATTCTGTCTTTTGAATCTGAACTGCATACACCCTGCCTACCCAAGCCATGTCAAACCCTCCCAGCTATTGTACAGCCAAGCCTTGCTGAAAGAGGAGCACAGGCCATGTGTCTGTCAGCTGGGAGACTACAATCCCCTTCAAATAAGAGCTCCAGGTAGGGAGCCAGAGAGACTGTGTGGGCAGTGTTTCGGCTTGGAGAGCAGGAGCTGTTTTAACGCAGCCTTCCACGCTGTGCTGTACAGCTTGGCTGCAGGCTGTAAGCTGCAACTGCTTCATGAGATAGATCCCGCTTGCTACCACCATGTTCCTGTAATGGGGTCTTCCTCTTCCTGCCTGGTAGTAGGTGTACCTTTGAGCTAATCAGACGCGGCTACTGTGAATGTTGTTCTGTAACACATGGTTTCCACATACTCACTGTCTGCCTGGATTCATCTGCTTCTCCATCTTAATCCTTAAAAATGAGGAGCTCAACAAGGCAGAGACTGGTTTTGGTTCTGTGTTTATGGTCTGTGCCAGCAACACCCCATGGGCTTTGTCATCACCACAAGTCCTTCAGGCTGTGGTCATACAACCTGTAAACAGAGGGACAAAAAGGAAACAGCCTGTGCTTGTTCACCTGTGAAACAGCGCTGAGATACCTGCTGTGTCTAACAAGTGGCATCATTAGGTGCATAGTCTGGGTACCTGGAAGCCCAGATTTAGGCCCCAAGGACTGCTTTCTGCTCCACAGTGAGGAAAGTACATCGGCCCAGCTGAGGGACACCTGAATTGGACACCTCCCTGGGGAGTCTCTTCCAGGTGCCTGCCCATCATGCATTTTCTGTCTTCTCTTGCAATGTGCTCCTGGCCAAGGCTCCCAGCTGGGAGCTGCAGCGACTCCAGGCCTTCCAGCTCCAAGGAGATGTCAATACTTGCTCTGCTGTTATGACAAAAAACATATCTCTGTCCTTTAAGGGAGAGGAGGAGCTGGCGTAGAGAAAGGGTGTGACTTGGCCAAGTGGCGGTAAATAATACCGGTCCAGAAAGCCTTCAGGGCCGTCGCCCAGATCTCTGTGAGGAAATGACCATTCCCTTGTGTCTCTTTGCAGGGGCCCGGGATCTGGATGCTTTCCAGGAGCGTGAGGAGGGCCGGGCAGCTCTGGATGATAATGAGGAGGTGATGCGTGCTCTGCTTATCCACGAGAAGAAGACACCTTCTGCTTCAACAGTCACTGTTGGAGGTGCCGCTCCTCTCTCCGGTGCCAATGCTAGTGACTCTGAGAGCGAGACAAGCGAGTCAGAGGAGGAATCTCCTCCCCGCCCTCCTACCACAGCCACCACAACATACGGGCTGGAGGATGAGGAGGAGGATGAAGAGTTTGAGGTGGTGGCAGAAGACCCCACTGTCATGGTGGCTGGGCGGCCGTACTCTTACAGCCAAGTGAGCCAGCGCCCTGAGCTGGTGGCCCAGATGACGCCAGAAGAAAAAGAGGTTTACATAGCCATGGGGAGACGCATGTTTGAGGATATGTTTGATTAACTGCTTCCTGCCATGGAATTTTTTTAAAAGTGACTTTTTAGGCATCTTTCCTCCTCTGTGCACAGGGACACTGGGGCTCAGGACTGCTAATCTCAGGCATCTTGCCCACCAGAGAGGGGGAGAAGTGAGGATGCTTGCAAGGTAAAAATCTGCTTCAGGGTGCCCCGCACAGGCACTGCTTTAACCCTCTCCAAGGCCCCAGCAGCTGTCTCCCCCTGATTGCTTTGGGTTGATTTTTGTTGCAGGTCTTAGTGAAGTCCACGTCCCTGCCATCAGAGGATGTAAGGGATCTGTAGTCTGATCAGAGTGCTCTGCAGAGGAGGCTGTAAGTAACCTTACAGCTGCCTGTGCTCAGTGAGGGGGGAGGAGAGGGAAGCACTCGTCTGCTGATGGCAAGCTTGGGTAGGGCTTGTAGCTGACCTCCTGCCAGCAGCCCCTGGCCACCGGAGCGGCTATTTCTAAGCAGTCCTGTAGACAGCAACCTTTTCTTGCTCCACTTTGCTCCTTACTAGGTCTTAGCACCTCAAGGTCAGGTGTAACTTGAAACACGCAGAGTGAAGGCCTTGGCAAGCACACAGAGTCAGTCTTTGTCAGTGTAATGAAAGCCCTCCATAGATCTGAGCTGTCAGAGCGCTCTGACTTACCAGGCGATACCTTCCTTTTCCAGTATTGCTGCCTGTCACTTCTGCCTAACAACTCTAGTGTTGCAGATGGTTCGTAGTGGGCAAGGTCTCAGTCAGGCAGTGACAGACAAATAGTGTAGCTAGTTTTCATTGGCAGTCACACCAAGGATGTATCATTTTAAGAGGAATTATGCAATTTTGAATTCTGCTTTGGCACACTCTTTTATCATAGAAAAACATTTATCAATGCCTATAGAGCAGTATCATATTTTTAACATTTTTCTCTTTCAATTGAAAATGTGGGGTTTTTCAATTGTTGTGTTTTCCTATCCAGTGCTACAATAAAATAAAATGATAAAAGAATTTTGTGTTCCATAGGGTAGGGGCAGTATTACATGCTGTTCAATTTACATGGGCAGAATGAATTTGCTGTTCACTGAGACTGTAAATCTGTTTTATACTAACTATGCTTTCTGTGTTATGCTAACCTTGTAGTGCCTCCTTTTCGGTTTTATTTTCGGCTTCTTGATATTTTGAACCCCCTCTTTTTTAAAATAGTGTTTTAAATTTGCTTTTAAGTCATTTTAAAGACAAATAAAAACCAGAAACTTCTCCCCTTTGTCATCTTCCAATTTGTCATGTGCCTAGTTGTGAATGTTCTTTGCTTATCATTTTGATTTACTCAATTCAAGAAAAAACACACTTTGAGGCTCTCCTTTGAGGGAATGACTATTTGAAATCCCACTGCACGCTGTTTCTCCTCACCAGAGCTTCCTTGAATGCCACCTGGAATCTCCTGCACTTCCAGGAAAGATGTTTCATTACACTGGTAATGAAGAGGTTCATTTCCTCTTTCCTCAAGGGAAGTGTAGGCTGATAGCAGAGGTCTCACAGACGTATTGCTAGTTAAAATGGTACTCTTGTGTAGACAGACTTCCGAGATCTGGTACCAAGCTTGTAGATATCAAGCCACAGAGATGATAAGTCAGATTGAGTGATCAGCTAACTGAAAAAAAAAAGTGTTGTACCAATTCTGTCTAGATTTAATCTGGTTGAATTCAAGGTTAACACTGGAGAAAAGCAGGTACATTTACAAGGAGCCAAAGACAGAAACTGAGAACTAATCCTGAGTACAGTACAACTACTCATGCTCCTAACTCACCAGAGTTTATACTGAGCTTTTAGTCTGCAAAATCAAACTGTAGGTCTGTTAAAGCTTAAGTGAAGAAATACTGGGGTTTGTTATAAGAGCACTGATACTGCATCTATATCCAGCATAATCATCTATAAAGTTGTGGGTTTACTTAATAAACACATTTAATTGTGGTTTGTACAGCGGTTGTAATTTTTGTCATTCATCAAGGCATGTCCAGCATGAGGGAATCGGTGCAGTGGTTTGTAGAGCATGCCTTCTGTCTCTTATCCACCACATGCAGCCCTCAGGAGGTCTGGCGAGGTCAAGATACTTGAGCAGATGCTGTCATTGTTTCCTGCCCTCTCTAAGAGCTTCTGGCTCTCGGAAAGAACGGCTGCTCTGCTTTGTTCCCAGACGGTTAGGGCTGTTGTCAAAGGACAACTACAGTCTGCTACTGCCCTGTCATGACAAGCACTGTTTGAATGAACAGGAGCATGTAAAATCAATGTTGCCTTCTTTTCTTTTTTTTTTTTCTGCAATTGAAGCAGGGCTCTGCATGCATGCCAGAAGAAGAAGAACAGCTGCTGCTGCAAGCAAAGCCAGCCACTGACAGGAGGTTGGTGTTAATGCAAGGGATAAAGCCATCAGTTCTGAGGAAGGCCCCAGGCATTTCCTCTGGCTGCTGGACCACATGTGCTGCGTTAACTCTAACCCAATAACACCATGAGCATGGCCAAGCGCTGAAGCCTTCCTGGGTGAATGTTCTGTCTAACCCCATTCAAACCAGTTTCTGGGTCTGCTTTCAGTCTAAAGTGCATTTTATCTGATGAGCGTGCTTGAGGCCAGCGCACTGCAGCTCAGGCTGGGAAGAAAAATGCACTTTTCAAGCTGCTCATACTCCCCTTTCCAAAGGTCAGAGGCACTAGGTGCCTCTTCCAGCTGGGCGAGGGCTGCCTCTGTCCCTGCTCCCATTGCGGGTCAGGGAAACCACCCCAGAGTGATGTCCTCCCCGGCCCAGCACAGAGCAGGCCAGAGCAGATCAGTGGGGCTGCTGATGGAGGGGAAGATCACTATCGATGCTGGAAAACAGGAATGTTTCAATCTTTTCTACTAAGCTCCCACAAATTCGCTTCCTCCATCCAACACTTCTCTCCCTGCGTTGCTGCCTCCTTCAAACAAACTCAGATGAAACACTGTTGCTCTGTGAGAGTCGAGGGATTTGAAGATCCCCTGGAGGAAAGGCAGAAGAATAGCATCACCTCCTTCCTGACACATCTAAGGAGCCCTGCCTCCGTGATGCCTGCAGCGCCAGGGCGTGCTGCCGGGAAGTTTGATGGGGCCTGGAGGGGGGGGAATCCTGCTGTGCCTGGGTCTCCATTTCCCGCTGTGCCCCATAGGAGAGAGAAAATTGTCTCAGGAATGAAATGCATGACATGGAAAGTTTGTGAGCAGGTAGGCAGGAGAACCAGCAGCAGCCCCACTCCTCTGCTCTGGTTTGTGTCACCATGAACAAGTGAGGCTGTGGGCTCCATCCCTTGGAGGAGGGAGGAGGAGGGAGCTGTCATGCAGTGCTGCAAGAAATCGCTCTGGGCTGCTCCAGGACTGGTATTGCTGTATGGCACTGGAAGCCCTGGGCAAGGGCTTGTTCACAGGAAGATTTGGAGTATTGATCTAAGCACAGACAGCCAAGGATCCCTGAGCATCACTCCCGTTTGAAGCGTATTGACTGTGAGTCAACACAGCTTTTTCTCCAGGAGTGCAGGAGCTGGGGCTGAAAAGTAGCTTCTGGCTGTTGATCTGCTTCGAGAATAATGATCAATATTTATAAAGTCCAAGGAGATCATCACTCATACAGTCTTGATAGGAGGCGTAGCCAGACGCTTGAAGCTGTTTAAGATGTGATTGCACAGAGTCATGGAGAGGCCGCTGCCTTAAAAGAGTGGTAGCCCAGGGCATGGGGAGTGATGTCTGACTGCTGGTGCTCCTGGAAAGCTGCCTGCCTGCCTGCTGTCTCCTAGCAGAGAGCAGAGCACCGGCAGCGCCAGGCTGTCCGGGACTACAGCCCCATCACTCTCTATAGCAGAGCTATTTTCTCTCAAAGTTATCCAGGGACATCTGGGCTTTTGCCTGTTTGGGATACCTAAATGAGCTGCCAGAAGGAGGTTTCTTATTTACCAGCATTAATTGGATTGAGAGAGAGAATGAACCTAATTTATATTTAAACAAAAATCGGATTTTGGAAGCGCCTGCTGTATCATTAAGAAACATATTAAGGACAGTGAGTATTTGTGCAGCCATCCTGGAAGCAGCAGACAGAGAGTCTCTGAACAAGATGCTTTAAATATAATAGGTATTTTTGCTTAAAATATGTTTCTGACCTAAATATAATTTAATTTCCATCCCTTTGAACAGTTTGATGCTAATGAACCAGCAAGGGATGGCAGAGAGGAGGCTGAGCCAGCTGCATGGGAAGCGACTCAGCTCCACTGCCGTGCGTTGGAGACCCTGCGTGTGCTTCACCCTGGCTGCAAACAGCAACAAATGCACAAATCCTGCCGAGAGCTGGCCACAGCAGCAGGAGGAAACCTCGGGCTGCTCAGCTGAAGAAACAGGCAGGGATCCAGCCTGAAAATTAAGGCTGATCAAATATTGTTCCACGAGCACTAATGTCTGTGTACAAAAAAAGGTACATCTGGCAAGGAGGAAAAATTACATCTCACACAGATGAGATTAAAGCCCTCACATAGTGCTTCTGCTTATTTTTCTCCTGGAATCCATATCACGAGCCTCTGCCACCCCATCACTTGCTGGAAGAAGGAGGGTGACCAGTGGTAATTTTGAAGCAAGCTAAAATTGTGCGTAGAGCTGAGAAACCTGACTCAGTTCCCATCCTCCTATCTGTAAACATTTTTTTTTCTGTGCTTCTGATAATGGAAATCTGCCTGATCCAATGACAAATTTACCAGGCATTGTTAGCAGAGTCCATGCTTTTCCTGTGTCCTCTTAACATACATTGAGGGGGAGGCGGGAGAGCAGTAAGCCAAGCACCATTTAATGGTTGCTACCAGCTGACCTGGGTATGCTTAGCCTCCAGTGTCTGAACCAGCCCTGTCCCATATGGGGTTGGGTCATTTTGGTCAGATTATTCATACCTGCTCTTTGCAAAGGTGCTGGTTGGTTTTCTTCTCCCGGTCAGTGCTGATGGGCTCTCATAAACTCAACCCCTCTTCGATCACACACAA